ATATATAATTTCTCACCAAAAAAAAATTAATCCCTCTCTCTCTCTCTCTCTCTCTCTCTCTCTCTCTCTCTCTCTCGTCCAAAAAAGGGAAAGAAAGTGAAGATCCTTAGTCTTGCCTCTTGTCTTTCGCCTAACTCGTGACTGTCGTCTTTCGCCATTTCTCAAGTGTCTCGCCTCCTCTCAATTCTTTATTGTGTTGTTTTTACCCATTCTTGTTTCTTAACTTGATTAATTTTTGGGTTATGGATGACAAGATTTGAATTGTGTGTGTGTGGGTAAAATACCTTGTAGCTTTTTTTGCCTTTTCATTTAATTAGATTATTCTATATTTGAGCATCACATATACTTGTGACCACTTTTTGAGTCATGTATCATTTAAAATAAGGTTGATACACCTAAAATATTTTGGTAAAGAAAAAAATAATTTTTTTCTACAATTAATTACAATTTAATTTATTCTCTTTATTAATTAATTAATACTTAAGGTTTTTACCTAGACACAATTCTAGATAAGCATGCTACTAGAAATTTAAACCTAAAATTTGTTGAAAAATTGGTAATAGATAATTTAATGTTTTTAATTAATTATACGTATCTTTTATACACAATTCTCGATGGAATTGTGTATTCGGATACGATCGTTGTTAAACTCAAGTCAATTGATCTACTTTGACAACTGGACTTGTCTAGTTATCTTAGGGGTGTATACGGTTCCATTTGGTTCTGGTTCCAAGAGAATCGAACTGAACCATGAACTAATAGCTTTTTTGATAATGAAACCAAATGCTTTTTTTAAAGATATAGAACCAAACAGGTACCGAACCATTTGATTCTGATTTTGTTTAGTTCTAGTTTCATCACTGATTGAGAAAAAAAGGTGAAAGAATATTTGAGGAAGAAAAATAGAGGGTTGAGGCTTCAATTTTAGCAATCTATGCGACGGTGATCATTGAGCGCAACGGTAGACGACATGCGGTAATTGTTGGTCTCCAAGTGAGATTCGGTATATAAATTAAAAAAAGGAGCGAAAATGAGAAATGAATTAGAGTCTAGGTCTCCAAAATGAATTAGAGTCTTTAATCTTTACATTGAGATTTGAGAAACAAAAGATACATGACTTTTTCGTCCTAATTTTCAATTGAATTTTAAATGTTTTGGTGTGATATATATATGATATAAAAAGTAATAAAATTTAAATATTGAATTTGGTTCTTGGTTCTAAACTAGAACCACTCGGTTTGTTTAGTTTTGGTTTGATCATTTTGTCCACCCCTAATTTACCTATACTGGCTTTTTTTTGTTATTTTTCCTCTGGAATATTCATATAAATGTTAAATACAAACTTATCAACAAAAATTTATACTTATAAATTTATAAACTAAAATAAGATGTTAAATCTAACCATATACGTTTTACAATTTAAGTAAAACTTAGCTAAACAAGCATCTAAGCAAGTTTATTAGAACATTATACACCTTAAAAATATTGTCATAAAATACTAATCACTACAACAAAACTGTGAT